GGGCCTTGATCTGCACCCCACCCCTCCATTCCCCCTTCCCTTCCACCACAACAGATTTACCAGCTGCACATAGCTCTCCAAGCTGCCGGGCTGTGCTCCTCACTGCCTATGTGCTGTGCTGCAGCTGGACGAATGCACAGGCCATTTATCAGCCAGGTTATTGGACACATCATGCTGATTTCTGATATAGACAATTTTCTTTATATCGATGCCAATCCGCTGTATCAGTGCACATCTAGCTACTATTCCTGTCTTGAGGAACAGTATATATGATATGCAGAACTTCATCTTCTTGCAGACATTACTTTACAAAATTGTAATAAAAAATAATAAGGATACAAGCCTTGGGATTCAGGATTTACTTGAATAGCTTAATGGTGCTTTAAGCTGTTATACAAGAGCTGAGTTCATTTAAATATCTTGGACTCTTCTGTCAGGCTGGTAGTACTGTAGTAAAATGTTAAGCTTGAAGGCGAGTTACTTCTAGTTCAAAAAACGGTCCTAGTCAGAAAGACAGGTCTCAAACATTTCCCATGCCAAAAGCTACTTCTTTGGTGCAGGAAATTCCTAGCCTGCTAAAAGGGACATCTGACCAGGGATAAGTGCTCAGATTTGCTAGGTGAGATGAAGGTATAAAATTCTTCATTTCTTTAAGGTGTGTTTGCATGTGCAAACACAAGAAACTATTCCAGCTTATATTATAGGCACCAATCAGTCTATGAAAAATTGTTCTAAGGTGACTTGTCAAATAACATTCTCAGTCTTAACATGGTTAAATTTTAGAGTCCGTTATTTCAGACTGTCCCAACTATGTTTATTCAGTAGCTGACTGGTATTTATGAATATATTGTATATATCTGTTGTTGAGTTCAGTAAACAGACTTTGAATGCTCAACCATATTCTCTTTTGGTGTGTGTGTTCCCATGGATTTAAAATAGGAGTCTGCTTTTGGTCAGCAGGAGCCATCGGAGGGTGGGAGAAAAGAAGCATGTTATTGTTAACCAGTGTTTCTCAATTTGGTTACTGCAGCATTCTGGAGTGCCTGGAGATCCTTTCAAGGGTGCCACACATTGTTACCACTATTTGGTATGCAAACATGGTGCACAAGATAAACCCAAAAATTTCAAATGGGAATTCACGGTGTTAAAAACATTGTAACTTGTTGTGATCTTACTTTAGTTCTTTGCAACAGAAGAAATGCTCTCTTATGTTTCTGTAAGCAAAAAATGAGAGAAAACTAAGCTGCCATTTTCAGAGGGATGCCTCAAGTTTAATAAGGGATGCCTTGGATCTAATGAGGGGTGCTTTGCATCTAGAAAGGTTGAGAAACACAGATATACATAATGTCTTTGTTCTCCTATGAGGGTGCAGAGGGTACAGTGGACCCAAACACCATTTGATTACTTCTCGCTGCTCAGAGCAATGAAACTGATTTTCTCAGTATCTGCATCTAAACATGCATTTTTCCCTAACTAATTGGTTGCGTTCACATTTAGTAATTGCTTGTTGGCAGATATTTTCAGCAGTTTTATTTTGAAGTTTACTTATTTTCATTTGGACCTTTTTCCTGACCCTGGGACAGAGTAAACCACATCCTAAGTTTCCCAGTTTTAGGTATTAACCCTCTTGTGAGTGGGCAATTCTAGTAAATTATGTGTATATAGGATGTCTCTTGTCACCCTGACAAGAAGTTCACGTTCCTAACAAGAAATTCATGTTTGCAAACTTTACAACCTAACAAATGTGTGTTGTGCATGTCATCTTCTAAAAGGATCTTAGAAAGAAGTGAGGTGTGTTTGAAATGAATTTGTTGGACCATTCCGATTGGCTGCTTTAAGGCTGTAAGGATGCATAATACTGGGACTCTGATTATGTCTTAAATTGAAGTAAGTTGCCTCCCAGCACTAAGGCCAGAGTGTCTAGAGCAGGGGTGGGCAATTATTTTGGCTGGAGAGCCACTTAAGTTTTGATGAGCTGTCAAGGGCCACACACACAATCTTTCAGAAGATATAATTTTAAGAAATTATAGACAAACAAATTGGATAGTAAAAATCAAACATCTACAATAACATATATCATTTAAAAATAATTCTTTTTCTAATTTATGGTTTGGGGGTTTTGTATTTTTTAGTAGTGTACATTAGAGGCAATTGCATTAATAGCTCAAAATAAAGTCTTACTGTTGTATATCAGGCACGTGTGGAGGGAGGGCTGCCCACACACTAGGTCCCAGGAGCTGGCCAGGGCATGGGGAGGCAGGGAGGATAGAGGGAGTAGAGGCGTATGTAGCAGAGCTCACCCAAACAGTGCAGTGCAGATGTAGGTGTGGGAGCAGCCCTGCTGGGAAGTGTGCATGGTAACTGGGGTTGCCCATGGGAAGGAGCATGGTGTGGGCTGCCCTGGGCAGGAGCAGGCAAGACTTGGCCCCATGTGGAGCACCATGGGGGCAGCCACGGGCCTAATGTAATCAATTGACAGGTACCTGCGCATGGGCCAGATGCAATCAACTGGTGGGCTGGATCCAGCCCGCAGACAGTATCTTTGCCCACCCCAATCTAGGGTTACCATGGCAGACAGCAGATCCTTGTAGAGAGAAGTAGTGAGTACCATTGCTACCAGTCTCCTTTAGTGCTACTTGCTTCTGAACTGAATGTGCTAGTAGGGTGCTTGTACACGTGACAATGTCACAATGTACACATGACAGAAATATCACTTTGCATGGCACCTTGTGTGGTGTGGCACATTACACGTGTGCCAGTTTTGGGGGTTTTAGATGAGTTTGCATCCTGATGTAGTTTAGTTTGCAGTGATGTGTTGCAGCTATTAGTCAGCTCATCCCCCAGCTGCAGGAGAGGTGGTCAGGCTCTTCAGCAGACACCTGATGAAGACAAAATCAGCACAGATCTACAAATCAA